GGGCGGGACTTGTTGCATGTGCCTCCCCCCTGGGCTCTTTACTGCCGGAGCTCTGCTCCTGTGCACTCCTGCAGGAAATGATTCCTGCAAATAAGCAAATACGAAATAGCCTTTTATCAATGAACAGACTGTTCATAACCTGTGGGACATTCCTATTTTTAACGATGCAGGACCAAACCAGTATTGTGTTTGTCACCAATTCCTTTAAGAAAATTTCACGAATACAATAATTCCTTTATGGAAAATACGTAAAACCTATCGGTTGGATTTTTTTCATGTGCTGTTGGATGTGGTTTGGCTAAGCTGTTTCCTGGTAATAAAGGTAAAGGTAAAGGTTCCCTTGCTCGAAAACCAGTCGAATCCGACTCTAGGGTTGCGGTGCTCATCTCCGTTTCAAAGCCGAAGAGCCAGCGCTGTCCGAAGACGTTTCCGTGGTCATGTGGCCGGCATGACTAAACACCAAGGCACACGGAACGCTGTTACCTTCCCACCAAAGTGGTACCTATTTATCTACTTGCAATGTCTTGCTTTCGAACTGCTAGGTTGGCAGGATTCCTGGTAATACTCAGGCTTTTAAAAAGAGCAAGAGTCCAGTAGCACCTTAAAGACTAACAAAATTTGGGGTAAGATATGAGCTTCTGTGAGTCACTGCTCGCTTCTTCGGATAGCTGCAGAAGAAGGTATCTGAAGAAGTGAGGAGTGACTCAGGAAAGCTCATATCCTACCACAAATTTTTCTACTGCTACAGACAGACTAACACGGCTACACATCTTCGTCTATCAGGCCTTTAAGAGATTTGTTTTGAGACTTATGATATGCACATGAGGTTCCTATGAATGTCCATTCCTAGGAATGGTCTGCATATAAACACCATGTCAAAGGAAATACATCCTGCTTTTGAATTATCTAGTTAACCTCTACAGCAAAAGTTGACTTCACTTGCTTGGGTTTCAGTTCTCCCACATTTCTGAAATTTCACAAGGATGTCTTTTTCCCTCCCTCCTGCTGACCTCAAACTGCTTCCCTGGATAAATTAATTGCACGCAGAAACAACTGATTATATTTTTTTTGTCAGTTACCTGGCTGGTTTTGGTGCCTGTATTGGGTCCAGCAACATTCAGATTCCTCAGAGCCCATGAATAACTTCACCTGGCTTCCACATTTATATATGTGAGCATTTCCAGGGGAATGGTCAGGATGACCTGCAGAAATAGTCTGAATCTCTACTAAAGCATCTTCTGTCAGTAGATTAATCGAGCCTTCCTGTTATCTGGATGCTACTTCTGTAAAGCTACTACAGCATTCAGGATATTTTTGAGGGGGGCATTTTTTCATATGTGCATGTGTTTGCACAGCTGGAAGTCATAGTAAGACAGATAAGGGGGGGTTGCAGTATAATACCGATGTAAGCGAGACAAATCACTGCAAACTGTTTTGATGTCATTCAGCCCGTCCTGAATATTGTTGTTAAGAATATTTTGTGAATGACATCAAAACGTATAGGAATCAAGGAAAGTCCAATTTGGAAGATTTATGACCATGTGGATGCACAGCTGTATGAGGTTGTATGTATGAAAAAGACGCCTCGAAACGAGTCTCAACTCCAGGGGAGTTCGTCCAATTCCGTCCATCTTCACCATCTGAAGTTTGACTTTTGTTGTCTGTAAAACATATATGAATGTATGGTTGAATATGTTACAATTTGCATTAATAGAAATTTGGTAATGCACAGTTTGCAGAGATTTGTCTTGTTTACAGCTGGAAGTCATGGCAACCTCTGGTGACTGACCCCTACTGGGGGCCTGTAGGATATTCAGAGAGATGGCTGAATAGAGCCTGCCCCCGCTTCCCGACTGCTGGTATTCCGAGGAGGTCTCCCATCCAAGTGCTAACCACAGTCGACCCTGCTTAGCTTCTGAGATCTGATGAGATCGGGCCTGCCTGGGCTATCCAGGGTGGGGTATTTTTTCTTTTCAAGGGACATGGCCATTTTCCACGTCCTAGATGGCAGATATTTTTTTTAATGACCCTGCGTTTTCCAGGAGGTGACCTATTGCTGAACCCAAAGAACCACTTCAGATAAATCTTAGTCACGAAATGGGACCTTTAGTTGTGCATAATTTCCACCATCCATGCAAGTAATATTTATTTATTTATTTATTTACCTTCAACTTCTACCCCGCTCAAACCCCTCCCGTGGGTCTCTGAGCGGCTTACATAGTTTTGCATTATCCCTATCTATGGGCACATGTATATATCGTATTAGGGGCGGGACTACCTAACAGCACCCGGTGGGATTCAGTTGATGTGTCTTCGTCTCGGCTCGGCTTCTCGGCTTCGGGTCGGCATCTTCCCTCCGCTCTCTTCAGGCTCTTTGGGAGATCTTTTGGAGTTGGCGGGCCCATTCTTATTTATTTTATAGAAGTTGACATCAGGCTACTAATAGTAAATAAGTAGAATAGTCCAAAGCAGCCTGAATAGCCCTGACTAGTCCAATCTTGTCAGAACTTGGAAGCTAAGCCTGGTCAGCAGTGGTTAGTATTTGGATGGGAGACCACCAAGGAATGCTATGCAGAGGAAGGCAATGGCCAACCACCTCTGCTCATCTCTTGCCTTGAAAGACCCATGAGCCAGTTGTGACTTAACAATACAGAACTGTTATCAGAACAGTCAAAACAAGGTATTTCCATTGTCTTGAACTTGCTCTTGAAAATATAAGGGACAAGACTTAACATCAAAATACAGAGGGAAAGGAAACTGAAAGAAAACACGCGGGGGAGGGGCTCGTGGCTCATTGGCAGAGAATCTGCTTGGCGTGCAGCAGGCCCCAGGTTCAATCCCTAGCATCTCCCATTTAGAGGACCAGGCAGTAGGTGACATGAAAGACCTCTGCCTATTACCCTGGTTAGCTGCTGCCAGTCTCAGTAGACAATACTGACCCTGATGGAGGCCCTCCTAGGGGAGGGGCTGTGGCTCAGTGGCAGAGCCTCTGCGTGGCATGCAGAAGGTCCCAGGTTCAATCCCCGGCATCTCCAGTTAAAAAGACCAGGCAGTAGGTGATGGGAAAGACCTCAGTCTGAAACCCCAGGGACCCACTTGCCAGAGAGAGTAGACTATATTAACCTTGATGGACCAAGAGTCTGATTCACTATATGGCAAGGGGAGGGGCTGTGGCTAGAGATGTAAAATTTCCAGAAATTTTGAAGCTCGGGAAAAAACCCGGTTTTTTTCGGGGGGGAAATGGAAATTTTTGGAAAAATTGAAAAAAAATGCTACATTAGCATTTCTTTTGTCTTTTCTAGATTGAAAGTCATTCTGTTACTTTAGGAACATAAAATATGACTATGGACATTTTTACTTGGCATGAAATTATCACAACTAGCATATTAAAAATATAGTGTATCCAAACAATTATTACAAACAGAATACCCATCCACATGCAAAAACAAAACTGAAAATTTTAAATTTTCTTCTGACAATCGCACCTCCTAAAGGAAGAAATGCATCTTCTTCTTGCATTGGAGAGTTCAGTTTGTAACCTAGAACTTGCTTGTCCTCAGTGCACAGAAATTAGATCAATCTGATACCATTTGTTGTTGTTCAGTTGCACAGTCGAGTCCGACTCTTCGCAACCCCATGGACCAGCTCCCGCCATATACCATGTATATATATATTTTAGAAATGATTTGGAAAATATTTGAACCCCTTGTCTTAAAATATTTTATTCAACATGTTAAAATGAAACGTTCCATAATCAATTTTTTTTCTTTTCTTTTTTCAATGTTTCCAATTTTTCAGGAAAAAACCAAAAAGGCTTCAGGAAAAAAACCGGGGGGGAAACGGTTTTCCCCCAAATTTTTCCGTTTTTGCCCCCGGGCTTTCACATCTCTAGCTGTGGCTCGGGGTAGAGCATCCGCTTGGCATGCAGAAGTTCCCAGGTTCAATCCCAGTTAGAAAGGACCAGGTGATGGGGAAGACTTCTCCGCCTGGGACCCTGGAGACCCACTGCCAGTCTGAGTAGACAATGCTGACCTTGATGGACCGACTATCTAATTTGATGTCAGGCAGTTTCATGTGATGGACCAACGGTCTGATCCAATATGAGGCAGCTTCATATGTTCCCTTTTTCCCCTTTCAAACACTGGTTTGTTTTCAAAAGGCGACCTGTAGGGCTCTTTTTGTAGCAGGAACTCCTTTGCATATTAGGCCACACACCCCTAATGTGGCCAATCCCCCAAGAGCTTACAGAGCTCTTCTTACAGGAACTACTGTAAGCTCTTGGAGGATTGGCTACATTAGGGGTGTGTCGCTTAATATTCAAATGAGTACCTGCTACAAAAAGAGCCCTGTATAGGTGTGCCTCTCACAAATCTCTGACTCGTAGCCAGTTTTCATCTGCATCTACAAACCCTTTCTCCTCAGATATGAGGAAAGAGCTGATAAAGACCGGGAGCGATATAACCGGCAAAGCCGAGAGGCTCTGGATCCGAACATACGGAGGTCGACGAGAGAGAGAGAGAGGAGGTCCAAGTCCAGGCTGAAAGACCGTCTGTCTGATCAGCCGAAACTCGACAAACTGTTCCATTCTCGAACGGGAAAGAAAGACAGTGGCTCCCACGCTATAAAAACTGTCCAGGTGCCCTTCACGATGGGTTCCTTCCAACAGAGGCTTCACCGGCTTGAGCAGAAAGAGTCGGATGAAGAACAGCTCTGTCTGATCCGTCTTTCGAATTTTCCTGACGCGTGGATAATTGCCTCGGATCAAAAGATAACGATGCTGAATCCGTACCGCGTGGAAGAAGCACTGCTCTTTAAGAAGCTTCTTGAAGACCATAAGCTTCCTGCCCAGAAACTAGACAGACCTATTGTGTTAACTGACAGGTAAAGGTAAAAGGGCATACTCCATTAAGTAAAGTCAGGCACGATTTCCATTGGATGATGCTTTACAACTGCTTCTCCCTTTGATGGGATAGAAATGGAATGACTCAGTTCAGACCGGTGTTGTGGTGGTCGGCAATTTGTCGTAGACAGAAGTGCGCTCGCAGTGACGCGTGAGCATCCGTAGAGTTTCCTGAGCACCCGGGGGTTAATTAGGAATTGGGGCTTAAATCCGCGTCATGGTTAGATGGCTTTGTAGAAATAACATGTCCATATTGGGAAGAAGAGGTCACTCGAAGTCTCAGAGCGGCTTACAGGCTCCTTTCCCTTCCCCTCCCCACAACAGACACCCTGTGAGGTGGGTGGGGCTGAGAGAGCTCTGAAAGAAACTGCTCTTTTTCAAGGGCAGCTCTTATCAGAACTACGGCTTGCCCAAGGTCACCCAGCAGCTGAAAGTGGAGGAGTGGGGAATCAAACCCGGTTCTCCCAGATTAGAGTCCGCGCTCTTAACCACCACACCAAACTGGCTCTGGGATTCTGAATGTATTTTTAGCAAAACCCTACGTTTGCCAGGGTTTTTTTGGGAAGGTGGCTGTTTTAGTTTTTGTCTATAAATCAGTTAACTATGGCTGGGGTGGGGATAAGGTAATGCTTTTTCCTTGGGGTAGGTTTAGAAAGGTGGGTGATCTACTTATGTGCAGATGGGCGTTCCTTAGCTTTTCTCTGTGCTACAAGACCGCTTGTTTGTTTGCAGATACATTTTCTAAGCTTCTCTCTCTCTCTCTCTCTCTCGTTGCGTATTTTTTTCCTATGGTTCTCTCTCTCTCTCTCTCTCTCTCTCTCTCTCTCTCTCTCTCTCTCTTGCCGCCAAGTCGCAGCTGAAAATCGCTTGCAGCAGCAAACAGTGCCCTGACCTGGATAGCCCAGGCTAGCCCAAACCCATCCGGTCTCAGAAGCTAAGCAGGATCAGCCCTGGTTAGTCCATGGAATGGGAGACCACCAAGGAAGTCCGGGGTCCCTACACCAAGACAGGCAGTGGCAAACCACCTCTGAATGTTTCTTGCCTTTAAAACCCCGCAAGGGTTCCCCATAAGTCGGTTGCGACTTGACGGCACTTTTCCCCGCCAGCAAACCGAGCTGGTTCACAGGTTAGCCCCAGTCTAAGCATCTGAAGAGGCCTCCTGGCTTTTTTTCTTCACTCCAGTCCTCCATTTTTCATTCCAGTCTTCCTTTGTCCAGTACATCTTTTGAGGGAGAAGATTGCTATCCACTTACCTTGATCGCAGCGGTCTCTTCTTGAAGGGAGAAGGGAGAAAGAAAGTTAGTGGGTGGCTGTTTGCCCTCTGTGCTTTCTCCAGCTTTGATAGCTCTTGCTTGCATTTGGGAAGGGGAAGGATATAGAATATAAGGAGAATATCGAATATAAGAAGGGTTGCGGTAGCTCAGAGGTTAAGATGCTGAACTGTAGACCAGAAGGTCAGTAGTTCGGCAGTTCGAGACCCGAGTGCCACGTGATGGAGTGAGCTCCCGTCTCTGGCCCCAGCCCCTGCCAACCTAGCAGTTCGAAAGCAAGAAATTGCAAGTAGATAAATAGGTACCGCTTTGGTGGGAAGGTAACCGCGTTCCGTGCACCTCGGAGTTTAGTCATGCTGGCCACATGACCACAGAGAAGACTTCGGACAGCGCTGGCTCTTTGGCTTGGAAACGGAGATCAGCACCACCCCCTAGAGTCGGATTCGACTGCTTTTCAAGCAGGGGAAACCTTTACTTTACCTTTAGAACATAGTAAGCCGCATTAAATCTGAGAGGACAAAGAAGACCAACGTAAAGAAGTTACTAAGCAGATTACTAGCAAGGAGGGGGAGTCCACCACTGTGCTGCTGGTGGTGACAGAGATAGCAGCTGTAGTAGATTTCGCTTTGTTCAGGGCACCAGACAAAGAGGAGGGGCTGGGATGAAGTGCCTCAGCAATGTGGGCCTGTAGTGGCTGTCTGAGTTGGTGACCACTACAGGCAATTGAAGCACCTACCTATCAGATGACGCATTGAGAGACTAACCTGTAACACCACTGAAAGGATTTGTATAAGGTTATTCTAAACAATTTTTTGGACAAATATACTAAAATTATGGAACAGCCGTTGAGTAGTAAACTAAATTAAATTTTTAATTTTTCAGTCTTCTTGGTGAGCCCTGTTACATGGAAGTTCTTCGTAACATGCCAAAGGAAAGCGGAGGGTTCGGCGGATCGTCCTATTTGCTGGATTCGAGACTTGTAGCGAATGGATTTAAGATAAAAATAATACCAGGTACAGTGTGGTCTCATAATTAGCATTTGACCCTATTCCTGTTAATTCTCCGTACGTATCTTGCTTCAGCTGGAAAATGACTGTGTTGAGGCAAGCGTCTCAAGGCCAAACTGGACAGGATAACAGGAAACAAAAAGATTTCAACTTGGATTTGTCCCCGTCGCTTAGTATATTTTGGTGGATGAGAAGTGGGGGACGTTCTCCATCCGGGGTTTGTCTCCCAGTAGCCTGTTCTCTGAGGTGATTATTGTTCCCTAGAGAGCCAGTTTGGTGTAGTGGTTAGGAGCGTGGACTCTAATTTGGGAGAACAGGGTTTGAGTCCCCACTCCTCCACTTGCACCTGCTGGTGTGATCTTGGCTCAGTCACAAATTCTTTCAGAGCTGTTCTCTCAGGAGCAGTCCTCGAAAGAGCTCTCTCAGCCCCACCTATTTCACAGGGTGTCTGTTTTGGGGAGGGGAAGGGAAAGGCGATTGTAAGCCGCTCTGAGACTCCTCCGGGTAGTGAAGGGCAGAGCATAAATCCAATCTCCTCCTCCTCCTCCTTCTGTTGTCCTGTCAGCTGAAGTTCTCTGCTCACAAGATTTATTTATTTATTTATTAGTTTGATTTATACCCCTCCCTCCCTGCAAAGCAGGCTCAAGGCGGCTTCCATAAAATTACAATAAATACAATTAAAATCATACATAAAACAATAAAACAGTAATAGTGTCAGCAAGCTGCCATTCTGTTTTCTGTGACCTCTGTGTACATATCCTTTCCCTGTTGCACCCGGCTTGTTTTCTATCATCCTGCTCCTGCGTTGGAATGCACAAGATAACTGCTGGAGGTTGTGTGGGGGAGAAGATGCTGTAATGCTTGCCTATTGCTTTTCTCATGAGTACTGCACCTGTGTTTTGTCTGATGTTCTGCCTGGTTCCCATGGACTGAGCGCGCAACCGTTTTATTAGCCCGCCAGCGGGAATGCTATTCATTGGATCTGTATCTGTTTGAATTTCCTTTATTATGCTTGACCTAACTGTGTATCCCCAGTTCTAACAAAGAACGTGTTTGAGTATGTCTTCAACGCTTTGAAATAAATTTTGCTTTTCTTGAAAACGTGGATTTATTCTCGATGCTTGAGGATCCAACACAGAGCCAACCACAAAATGGCTCTTACAAGAGGCAGAGGCAATAGCAAACTGTGGGGGAGTGAGGGGGAACCTACTTAACACGGAGGGGGGCTCAGGATCGGTCCCACATACCTCCGCTCCTTTGGTGTTCACGACTGCAGCCTCGGTGGAGGGTGCCGTGGGGGGAGCGATTCCCCGCCTGCCTGAACATCTGTCTTGGCCGCCTCCGACCCCTTCGCACTGGGGTCCGCGGAAGACTCATCAGCAGGATGACTGGACTATGTACAACACTCAGGGCACCCGAGAGGTGTACTCCCGTCGGGGGAGCGGATTACGTGAGAGTCTGTTTGACAAGGGATTGTTCCCGGAGCCGGGGACTACCTCGGAGAAGGGGAGTTCCAAGCAAGACCTCGAGGAGTGGATGTTCGAGCCATCGGGGCCGCGAGGCCACGCAGAGGATGAGGAGGGCACCGGAGCCTTCCAAACGGAAGAGGACTATGACCCACCCCCGGACTATCGACCTCGGGACCCCATCCCGGAGGAAACCACCGGGGAACGACTGGCAGAACTGGAATACTCGGTGAGGGACTTGTTGAGGACATTCCAGGATGTAATGGAAGCTCTGCCGGGAATGATGGACGTTAGAATGGCTAATTTCCTTGACGCACACGCCGCGCAGCAACAAGTTGTCCCTGCACCGGGAGTTCCCGCACCGCAGGTGCCTGCTCAGCCGCCGACGGGACCTCCGCTGCAAGTACCGGGAGTTCCCGCGCCGCAGGTGCCTGTCCAGCCGCCGGCGGGACCGCCTCAGCAAGGGCCTGTGCAACAGCCGATGCCGGGGGGTCCGCCGGTGCCGGGTCTGCCGCCACCGATGAGGCCAATGCCAGCGGGGCCACCGGTTGGTCCGGGTCTCCCTCTCAGGGGAGTTCCGGGTCAGCTGGGACCGTTGGTACGGCCTCCATGGCCCAGACCCAAAGATCTACTGGAGGCTACCTTTGACGGCAACCCAGATGAACTCGCTTTCTTCACGGTGAGAGTGCATAAATTCGTAGAAGAGAGCCGACACCTGTTCCGAAATGAAGCTGGTCTTATTGATGTCATCTCGGCAAGACTAAAAGGAGACGCCGCCACATGGTATGTTGGACTGCACAATGACCGCGGTCCGGAACTTTTGAATTTGCGAGCATTCATGTGGGCGCTGCGGGCGAGGTTTGAAGATGTCAACGCGAGCCAAAGAGCTAAAGCGTTTCTCCGCACCTACCGCCAGAATAAGAAGTCGGTTCGCGAGTACACACTGGAATTCCACAAGCAGGCAGCAAAGCTCCGAGACTACCCTGATCATATATTGGCTGAGATGTATCGATTGGGACTCAACGCAGACATCCGAGAAACGGTTCTGAAGACTGTCAATCCTGTCTCCCTGATGGCCTGGACCCAGGAAGCTGAAAATGCAGAGGATCGGCTCACCACCATCAAACTCGACTTGGCTGCTACGACCAACAGACCCGCCGCTGCCAGTGCCTCCAGACCCAAGACTCAACGCCTGTCGGAATCGGCACGAGAACTACGTATGAAGATGGGGCTCTGTCTCAAGTGCGGGGAGAAGGGGCATTTCGCTGTGGATTGTGGCAGCCGTCAGGTAAAAGACAAGCCGCCTACTCCAAGCCCGAAGACACCGCTGACGGGGAAGAAGGGGATGGCTAAACCGCGTTTCTCCAAAGCTCTGCAGGCGGCCCAAGGCCTGGAGGGAATCGAACCGTCTGCTGCCGAGTCAGAAGAGGAGGTGGTGGCTGAAACGGCGGAAAACGACAACGGCCTGTTGTGAGAGGCGCAAAACGACACGGCCATTCTAGCTCTGCGCCCAAGGTGGTGAGAGAAACCCCTTCCCTGTTTTTCGTGACTGTCTCGTTAATGAATCCGCTCCTGGGGACCCACGTTAGGGTGAGAGCGTTGATTGATTCTGGGTGTGGGAGGGATCTCATCAGCCCTAGAGTGTTATTGGCACTGGAAGCGGGGATAGTCCCCTTGAAGTCTCCCATCATTTTTACCCAAATGGATGGGGCACCCATGGAACCTTGTACACACGAGACTATGGCTTTGCGGTTGGGGGCTGGCGATCATTGGGAATCCAGATCCTTCATTGTTACCCCTAAATCGCAGTTTGACTTAGTACTGGGGAGTCCCTGGTTGTTTACCCATGACCCTTACATCTTGTGGGAAGAAGGGGTTGTCAAATTTGTGTCGGCTAAATGTGTAGATCACTGCTGGTTGGACTCGTGGGGGGACCAGCCGACCGCACAGTTCCCCTGCGGCGCTTTGCAGCCGGAAGAGTTAGCTTCTTTGCCTCGAGAGTATAGAGACTTGGCGAAAGTGTTTGGCGAAGATGAAGCTAACGAATTGCCCCCCCATCGCTCTACTGACTGTGCTATTGAACTTTTGCCTGACTGTAAATTACCTAAAGGTAAAATCTATGCGATGGGGCCGGCTGAGAAAGTTGAACTGCGGAACTTTATTGATAAAAACTTAGCCCGAGGTTTCATTCGCCCGGCTTCCTCCCCTTTCGCCGCGCCTGTACTTTTCCGAAAGAAGAAAGACGGGGGGCTTAGATTGTGCACTGATTATAGGGGTCTGAACGCTGTTTCTTTGTCCAATGCCTACCCCCTCCCGCTAATCAAGGACTTGGTAGCTGAGGCCACCAAGGGCAAAATCTTCTCGAAACTTGACCTCCGAGATGCATATTTCCGTGTGCGCATTCGGGAGGGGGATGAAAGTAAGACTGCATTTAATACCCCTTTGGGGCAGTTTGAGTACCTCGTTATGCCCTTCGGGCTTCAAGGGGCTCCGGGGGTCTTCATGAACCTAATCAATGAGGTCCTACATGAGTTCTTGTTCAAAGGAGTGGTCCTTTACCTTGATGACGTGTTGCTGTACTCTCAGGACCTCCCGTCGCATATTAAATTGGTGCGCCAGGTCCTTAAGCGACTTTATGAACACCACCTGTTTGCAAAGCTGTCAAAATGTGAATTCCACAAGACATGCATTGACTTTTTGGGTTATCGCATCTCTGGGGGGAAGGTGGAAATGGACCCTGCTAAAATACAGGCTGTACTTGACTGGGAACCCCCCAGGACCCGCAAACAATTGCAAATGTTCCTCGGATTCGCCAATTTTTATAGAAATTTCATCCAGAATTTCGCTCAAATTGCCCTTCCTCTGACTGATTTGCTAAAGACCAAGGGGAAGGGGTTTGATGCTACGAAACCAGGCGCCCCGCTTAAATGGTCCCCTGCTTGCGCAGAGGCTTTTGAGAAACTTAAACTGATGTTCACCTCTGAGCCAGTGCTGGCGCGCCCTGATGAAACTAAAAAATTCATTGTCCAAACTGATGCCTCGGATGTGGCAATGGGGGCCGCTATTTTGCAAGAAGGGGAAGATGGTCGTTTACACCCCCTCGCATTTGTGTCTAAAAAGTTTTCTGACGCTGAACGAAACTGGGGGATTTGGGAGAAGGAGGCATCAGCGATCCGGCTGGCTCTCTCCACTTGGAGGCAGTGGTTGGAGGGGGCGCAACTGCCATTTGAAGTCTGGACTGACCATAAAAATCTGGAAATGCTGAAATCCCCCCGTTCTCTCAACGCTAAACAACTTCGTTGGGCGGACTTCTTTGCTAAGTTTCGATTCACTCTTCGTCATTTCCCTGGGACGGCTAATTCCCTGGCTGACGCGCTCTCACGCCTCCCACAACATGACAGTCAGCGTGAAATCATCATGGACTCTGTTTTTTCCCCCTCCCACCTGGGGGGGGCTGTGGTCACCCGTGCGCAAGCGCGCTCGATTCCGCGCTCTGATGAAACTTCGCCTTCCCTTTTCCCTGGGGGGGGGGGGGCTGGG